GGTTTTTTTAACTGTTCATTGCTAATATGTAGAAATATGATTGACTAAACGTTCTTTCAGCAACAGACCATTACAATTATAACAATATAGCTATAACTCTACATTAAATCATCTGTGACAACTTATAGCCAAAATTCCAAGTCAGGGTCCTAGTTCAGTCACTCTTCAATGCATATGTTACAAAAGGATTCCGTGATGATTGTTCTATTTACTTAAGATCTATTGCATGTGTTGGGCTCTGTATTAAAAGTGATCTAAACTGTCAATGCGTTAATTCAACAGTTAATGCTCATTGCATGCTTAGTTCTGTGCCGAGGGCCATAAATACACTAATTGACTTTTTCATGAACGGTTCTGACCCCAGATTCTGAGAGGTAGAACACAACTTACCAGCTTCATGTGTTCCTTAAAAGACTTAAATTACTTTTCCCTCAAAAGATTGGCGACCAATGTATTCATTATAAAAATCACCAAAATATATGCTCTTTCTTTTAGCGTTCAAAGCTGGTATATGCATGATAAACATGTGAAACATTATTATTATCTACAGAATACTTCATTAACTGTGTCACAGCATACATAAGTTCTAATAATATCAGACCTGCATATAGGACTGAACGTTCATTTATTTAAAAGCCTTTTTGTAAAGTTTAAGAAATTTTTCTAGTTTAATCACAGAATGGGTGAATCAAAGTGCACGATGTTTCTGTGACTCAAAATCCAACACAGCCTGCAGAAAACTGGTATATAAAAACAAAAGTAAAGGGACTTCTCCAGTGGTTAAGACTCTGCACATCCACTGCAGGGGGTGTGGGTTCGATCCCTGGTCAGGGAACTAAGATCCCACATGCCGTGCAGTGAGGCCAAAAAAACCCCACAAAAAAACCCAAAGCCAGGGCAAATTGTACTAAGTTCTGAGCTGCTTTAATTATTTTTGGCCATTAGGGTGGTATCTAATAAATAACTTCACTTGGCAGATACATTAGACACAAAGATATTTTTTCTTAAAATAAGTAATCTAAACGGTTTCCTAGCTCATCTGTTTTCTTTTTTCATCCTTAATTTTATACTCTCTTTTACTGGAGAAGAATGTGTAAGGTGGGCCAGCGGTGACCGAATCTGATTGGTCTGTGAGCTTAGAAAGGCGCTGGCTGAGAGACAACATAGCACAAGGAGGACCAGATTATTTATGTTCTGGCAACCCCAGCAGAGAGAATAAGCGTAAGAAGGATGGGGGAGGGGGGGTCACCAGTTCCTGAAACGCTCCAGCGCTTCCCCTCGAGGTGGACGTCTTCAAGCTCAAATGCGCACGGCCCCCACTTCTGCCCACGCCGTCGTACCCACATCATACCTCAATCCCCCGGGCTTCCTCTGTGGGGAACCAGGATCCCGTGAGGTCCCCAGCGCGGTGGAGGAGAGGGAGACTCAGCCTGTGGCCACCAGGCCCCCGCTGCACCCTCCGCCCTTCCGGGAGGCTGTGGGTGTGCGACACGGAAAGCTGACCACATGCTGAGCCGGCCCAGGTGAGCCGAGGAAGCTATGCCCAGTTCCTGCTAGTGCCGCAGGAAGGGCACTGCAGACAGCAGGACGCGTGGCCGGGGCGTCGGGAGGGTGGGTGTCGGGCAGCGGGGGGAGCCTGGGAGAGGCAGGGAGCCACAGGGAAGTGGGAGGGGGCCTGGGCTCCAGTCAGGACCCGCAGAAGGATGGACTTTGAGCTCCAAGGCTGAGCAGGGCACGAGAAGTCACAGGGAAGCAGGAGGCCTGGAGGGCACGTGAACACCTCGTTCAAAGGACATCGAGGTGGCTGGTCCACTCAGAGCCGAGACGAGGTCTCAGCAAGTGGAGAAAGCCTGGCCATGCCGTGTGGTGCCAGGTCTCGGGGGCCCCCCCGGTGGAGAAAAGATGTTCAGTTTGTGAAGCAGAGACGCAGGGAACGGTGTGGGGAAGGACAGCAGGAGAGCGTCCGCTGCAAACCCGTCTGGGCGGGAAGGGAAGGGCCCGGACAGGGCTACGCCTGCCTTGGCCTCGATGTCGATGTGGGGAACGGACAAAGGGACGGAATACTTTAAAGAGGAACCTACAAAGTTTGTGAACTGAGTCAGTGGGGGAAACAGAGCAAAGAAGGAGGCCAGCGTGACTGCAGGGCTTCAGCCCTGGTGGATGGGGATAGGAGGACCGCCAGCTGGAGACAGGCAGAGACATTAACAGTAACTACTACCGGGGACAGTGCACCCGTAACTAGTACCAGAGATAATGCACCCGTAACTAGTACCAGGGACAATGCACCCGTAACTAGTACCAGGGACAATGCACCCGTAACTAGTACCAGGGACAATGCACCCATAACTAGTACCAGAGACAATGCACCTGTAACTAGTGTCAGGAACAACGTACCTGTAACTAGTACCAGAGATAATGCACCTGTAACTAGTACCAGAGACAATGCCCCTGTAACTAGTACCAGAGACAATGCACCTGTAACTAGTGTCAGGAACAACGTACCTGTAACTAGTACCAGAGATAATGCACCTGTAACTAGTACCAGAGACAATGCCCCTGTAACTAGTACCAGAGACAATGCACCTGTAACTAGTACCAGGGACAATGCACCTGTAACTAGTATCAGGAACAATGTACATGTAACTAGTACCAGAGATAATGCACCTGTAACTAGTACCAGGGACAATGCACCTGTAACTAGTATCAGGAACAATGTACCTGTAACTAGTACCAGAGATAATGCACCTGTAACTACTACCGGGGACAATGCACCTGTAACTAGTACCAGAGATAATGCTCCTGTAACTAGTACCAGAGACAATGCATCTGTAACTAGTACCAGAGACAATGCACCTGTAACCAGTATCAGGAACAATCTACCTGTAACTAGCACCAGAGACAATGCACCTGTAACTAGTACCAGAGATAATGCACCTGTAACTAGTATTAGGAACAATGTACCTGTAAATAGTACTAGAGATAATGCACCTGTAATTACTACTGGGGACAATGCACCTGTAACCAGTACCAGAGATAATGCACCTGTAACTAGTATCAGGAACAATGTACCTGTAACTAGTACCAGAGACAATGCACCCGTAATTAGTACCAGGGACAAAGCACCTGTAACCAGTACCAGAGATAATGCACCTGTAACCAGTATCAGGAACAACCTACCTGTAACTAGTACCAGAGATAATGCACCTGTAACTAGTACCAGAGACAATGCACCTGTAACTAGTACCAGAGATGATGCACCTGTAACTAGTATCAGGAACAATGTACCTGTAAATAGTACCAGAGACAATGCACCTGTAACTAGTACCAGACACAATGCACCCATAAGTAGTACCAGGGACAAAGCACCTGTAACTAGTACCAGAGACAATGCACCTGTAACTAGTATCAGGAACAATGTACCTGTAACTAGTACCAGAGATAATGCTCCTGTAACTAGTACCAGAGACAATGCATCTGTAACTAGTATCAGGAACAATGTACCTGTAACTAGTACCAGAGATAATGCACCTATAACTAGTACCAGAGACAATGCCCCTGTAAGTGGTACCAGAGATAATGCACCTGTAACTAGTACCAGAGACAATGCACCTGTAACTAGTATCAGGAACAATGTACCTGTAACTAGTACCAGAGATAATGCTCCTGTAACTAGTACCAGAGACAATGCACCTGTAACTAGTATCAGGAACAATGTACCTGTAACTAGTACCAGAGATAATGCACCTATAACTAGTACCAGAGACAATGCCCCTGTAAGTGGTACCAGAGATAATGCACCTGTAACTAGTACCAGAGACAATGCACCTGTAACTAGTATCAGGAACAATGTACCTGTAACTAGTACCAGAGATAATGCTCCTGTAACTAGTACCAGAGACAATGCACCTGTAACTAGTATCAGGAACAATGTACCTGTAACTAGTACCAGAGACAATGCCCCTGTAACTAGTACCAGAGACAATGCCCCTGTAACTAGTACCAGAGACAATGCACCTGTAACTAGTATCAGGAACAATGTACCTGTAACTAGTATCAGGTACAATGTACCTGTAACTAGTACCAGAGATAATGCACCTGTAACTAGTACCAGAGACAATGCCCCTGTAACTCGTACCAGAGACAATGCCCCTGTAACTAGTACCAAGGAGAATGCACCTGTAACTTGTACCGGGGAGAATGCACCTGTAACTAGTACCAAGGATAATGTACCTGTAACTAGTACCAAGGACAATGCACCTGTCACTGGTACCAAGGAGAATGCACCTATAACTAGTACCAGGTACAGTGTACCTATAACTAGTGCCAGGGACGATGCACTTGTTACTCCAGTGACAGCCCAGTCGGGGTGCAGGTATCACCAGTGAAACTAAGGCCATTAAATGCATTAAATTCCCGAGAAGCCCAATTTAGACTTTTCGGTGGCAACAGTGTCTTCTGAATGGTAAGGGTCCTCTCGAACCACAAGCACCAAGCTGGCGATGGAGGATGTGTGCACGAGGCTTTGGCGCATTTACCTCACGGGCTTTCAGGGGATTCCTCTGACCTTCCAGACGTTTCCTGATCCCCTCATTCTCACGACCTCCCACACTCCCGTAACGGGGGGCGTGCACGAGCACCGTCCTCTCTGCCAGGGCTCCAGGCGAGTCCCCCTCCTCCTGGGCCCACCGGCTCGCAGGCTCTGTCAGCGCTTCTGAAGGTGGGGCCCGCGTCCGGGGAGGCTGGCGGTGCTCCCCCCTGAGCTTGGCCTTCCCGTTGGGAGGGCTCCCGAGGGGGCGTTTGCAGTGGCCAGGAGGTCAGCCGAGGAGGGACCTGCGGGCACAGCACCGCCCAGTCCCCACCCGCCTGGCTGCATCCGGTGGCGTCAGCAGCTTCCTAGCTGCTGGTCTCCAAAAGTATCCGGATCCACAGAGGAGCAGAGGCAGCTCCCCCAGACAGCAGAGGGTCCAGCCTGCCCTGAGACCACGCATCCTGTCTTTCAGGATGGACACCACGCGGCCAGAGCCACCCACTACGGCCCCCTGCCCCCGAAGGCACAGCACCGCCGGCCCCAGGATGAGAACCCCGTAGTGCACTTCTTCAAGAACATCGTAAGTGGCAGCCGCGGGCGAGAGGGCTGAGGGCCGCCCGGCCCTGCCCCAGCCACGAGGGCCCGAGTATGTCCCCAGGCGACGCCCCCCACCTCCTCGGGAGCCCATGGCCAGCACCTGGTCCCAAGGTCTGGGCTGCACCTGCACCTTAACTTTGTGTTAAAACCTTGAGTTCTACCGAAGAACTCACTCCTTTTGAGACTAAGCTAGTAGGAGATGCTTAGTTCAAAAATACAAGCTTTGCAAAGCTCTGGAGACGGTAAGAAGATCGGGGGTGCGGGGGCAGGAGGGATGAATAGACTAGGAGTGCCCAGGACTTGGGGGCAGCGAGTCTCCTCTGAATGATCCCGTGACGGCGGAGACACCTCATACATTTGTCAAAATCCACAGAATGTACAACACAGAGCCCACAGACCTTGGTTAATGTATTGACACTGGCTCAGTTTTAACAAGTGGACCACACGAGAGCCAGGGGTGCTGTGCACAGGGCAGAGGGGTCACGAGAACTCTCTGCAATTGTTGTGCAAGTTTTCTAGAAACCTAAAACTTCTCTAAAAAATAACATCTTAAAAACAAAACCACAGGCTCTAATTATAAACCTTCTGTGCAGCAGACATCTAAGATGGTATTTTCATGTTGATTAGGGAGCTTTAGGAGTCGCACACCTGAGGGTGTCCCTTTTGAGGCTCGAATACCAGGGGCCCTTGACTGCCCACCCCAGAGAGGACGGTGGTGAAGCTCACCATCTCCATCACCTGCGACAGGGGGTGTGTCATGGGAGCACGCCAAGAGGGATTGCCTCTGTGGCTGCAGAGCCTTTGGTGTGTTTCCCATCCTCTCAAACACTTTCTGTGTGCTCTGGAAGATCGAGGTAGCATTGGATACTTTCGAATTCTCAAATTGTATATTTCTTTCTCAACTAAAACAGAACGGGGACGCCGGGCAGAGACTGAGTGGGTGGCTTCTTATACCAATAGATACCAGACCCTCCCAGCAAGCAGGAGCTAGCAGGGAACTAGCAACAAGCCAGGTGACAACACGAGGTGACACGGTGACAACAGGAGGCTCTCACGAGGAGGGTCAGGGCTGCTGTGAAGGAGGGACCCCACCCCCGCTCACCATTCTCCCGTGTCTTTGCAGGTGACACCTCGCACACCTCCTCCATCACAAGGAAAGGTAAGGCCTCCCAATGTGTTGAGTCATCATCACTTTACAGCCCTTCCCTGAAATCCCTAAATGGATCAAAAGGAGGGCTGGACTCAGAGATCCCTGACTTCACCCCAAAATGTCTTGCCACGTGGAGCCCACGTAGGACAGGCTGAGCCGCGCGTGACACCCCTTCCTGCCTGCTGCTGTGCAGACAGCGCTCACCATCCCAGCTCCCTTCCCTCTCAACCCCAATCTGAAATCCTCCCTGGGCAGCTCCCCGGGGCCACGGACAACCACAGGATAGGGCACGTGTGCCAAAACCTGTTTGCCATCTCAGCACTGTGTTGTCCTGTGTTTCCTGTTTCGTGGAGAGAATGTTTTTCCCACACTGATCACCATGTCCCTCTTTTTCTTTTCCTCACACAGGGGCGAGGACTGTCCCTCAGCAGATTTAGCTGGGTAGGTGACAAATGCACGTCCACCCGTTGCCTCTCGTTCCTCATGGCCACTCAGCTGTTCTGTTCTGCTGTTTCAGTTGCTCCCTGGGCCCACCTTCCTTCCCATCCCACCCAGCTTGTCCCCCACTGCTTCCGCCACAGCCGGTCCTTCCTTCCAGCTGGGTTCACGCTCCTGTTTCCATGACCCAGGGCCCAGGCACCAAAGGGCTCCTAGGAGACTCCCCTGGGCTCCTCCCCAGGGAAGGAGCGACTCCATGTATTAGAAAATTCCTGATTTCCTTCCAAAACAGCAGATGAGGAAGAATGGGTCCCTGCAGTCCGCGTGTGGACCCGTCCAAATAGCCAGCACTCCCTCCCCTGCCAGATGTTGACATTTTGGGGAGAAAAAAACGATTTTGCTAACGAGACAAAAAGATGCTAAATTCAGTCATTCAGTGATCCAAAAGATTTTGGCTTGGGTTTTGATTTAGTCATAACTAAAGCTTGGATATCAAGCCATCCAGGAAAACCTTTTTAGGAGTTTCTGAGAAGATTTTAAAGAAGATTAAAATCTTCATTTAACCCATGAAGATTTTAAATGGCTGATTTGTTCACTTTCTAGTAAAATTTTGTGTCTGAGCCAACTTTAAATGCCTATCTATATTTTAACTAAATCTATCGACCACACTTACTAACAAATATTAGATAGAGTTCTTACTTTATAAAATTTCCAGAATTCCACTAATCTACAGGCCAGGAACTGTGTCTGTCTTGGAGACACAGTATCCTTAGAAACACATCCTCCAATGTCCTTGGAGACACAGTATATCTCTAGTGCAGAGCCTACATATCCTTGATGCCCAATTAATAAGCATAATAGAAATCAATGAATGACTTTAGAAAGAAAGAAAAGGAAGGAAGGAAGGAAGGGAGGAGGGAGGGGGGAGCCACCCTCAGAGAAAAGGCAGGGGAGGCTTCTATAAACTGCCCCAACACATAATTACATTGAAGTATGAACTGAGATATTTGCTGGAACATTTTATACAAATATGCATGAGCGTTTTCCTGACCTAATGAATTTGCCGAAAGGTGATGATAACGTAGGGAATCGACACGGGCCAGCCCTCAGGGACAATTAATGATTGACTTTCTGTGCCAGCAGGAGACAAAGATGATGTTGAAGAATGGGACCCACTTTTGACCCAGAAATCTGATTTTAGTAACCGCTTGAGCTGCCTCCTAACCCTCTAGGCGTGAATCAGGGCGAAGCCATCGGTGAACGTGGAGTGATGGGAGGAGAAAGACCATGTTTCTTCCAGTCGTTTAAAGGCCGCTTCAGCCCGGCAGCTAACAGCACGGCCTTTGCATGCCTCTCACGTCTCTGTGTTTGGTCCCACTAATGTCTGTTAATTTTCTCTTTTTTTCCAAAGTAAAATCCTGCTCCGTATTCCGTGAGCTGGTTTGTCGGTTTCCTAGAGCCACACGACTGTCTTCCCATTTGGAGTTCCTGAAAATCCCACCATTTTTCTAAACTATGTTGTCTGTTTTTTGGTAAATTCTAGGTTGTCCAAAGATATAAGTGACCAGGAGTTTGAAAGGAGAAAATTTAAGCAGATTATTAATCTGAAAACCAATCCTTGAATTTAATTCTCAGAAGCTCTTTATTTTTGGAGAAAACAGCAGAGTAAGAGAACAGTTTAGCACTTGCATGGGAAAGCGTGGATCTCGACAACTCTTGTGTCTGTCCTTGGGCTCAGTCCTCTTTAACCATCCCCCCGACCCTGGACCATGATGGAGCAAGCGTGTCCATGGAAACCTCTGGGATTCAGGGCAGTTCTGGGCTCCTCTCGTATGTGGTCTTGGATCTTCACTGCCCCTGTCCCTTGCACACTTGATAACCCTTCACGTGAAAGTAGCTGAGTGGCCAATGTCTGTTCCCAAACCTGGGCTGAAGTACCTTGGGGGTGCAGGGCAGGGGGTGTGCCTGGACAGCTGGCCCTGGTCCAGCTTCAGCTCCAACACGAGAGGGGTGGACTGGAGGGATCTGGAAGCTTCTGGAGCCTAAACCAGAGGGATCGATCCCATGGTTTCCCAAGCTCCTTCCAGCCCTAAGGCACCCTCGTGAAACTGGAAAGCGCTGCAGCCTGAGGCAAAGGGTCCTGGGGTCTCCATCAGGAGACGGTTTTATTTTGTGTATAGAATTCTCAGGAGAGGCCAGACAGAGAGCTTCCTACTTCTTGTTGGCGAAACGTGAAGTGAGACCTCAGAGCCTGTCCGTTGCATAAGATCCGTGACACAGACAGGATGTGTGGTTCACCCCTGGAGGAATGTCGCACCCCAGGCTGGACACCCGTTACCCCCAAAGGCTAACATTCCTTATGTCTGAGCATCAGAGTTTCCCCCATTCCTTTCTTGTGTTCACAGTGGAAGTTTCCCTTTGAAACTAAAGCGCATTAGAATGCAGACTGGTCCTAGAGACACACATATCCTTACATTTCAGTAATCACTTGTCACTGCTACGTGTCACAAAGGCAATTTTTCTCCATCTTCCCTGAAGTGAGAGGGGCTCCCGGGGCAGCTGGAGACCGGGCTGGGAGCTGCCAGTGGAACCCACCTCCCCATAACAACAGCAAACTCGAAAGTTCAGAGCCACAGGCTCCATTCTCAGAGCAGAGCATCCATTATCCCCATTTTATAGAAGAGGAAACCAAAGCTCAGAGAGGTTCCAACACTTGCCCAAGGTCACACAGCCAGGGTGGGGGGTTGCTGAGACCCGTCCAGGTGGCTGGCTCTGGGGCTGTGCCCAGATGCACGGCCTGGGGGACAGGGCTTCCCAGCCGGGACCCACCCCCTCCCCTCTACAGTGACCGGCTCCCAGCCCAGAGCCCCGGGAAGGACCCTGGTCCCAGTTCACCATCCACACGCAGGGCACCCAGGCCGCGGCCAGGGGAGCTGGTCCTGGTCATCCTGGAGACGCTCCTCCAGGCTGCAGAATTGGGAATTTTGTCTGTGCACGTTAGAAAGGTAGAAGCCCCCAAATTTCACCAAGTCTGAAGGCTGCTGACGCCTCCAGGGAAGCAGATGGGAAGGGTCTGTGCCGCCCAGGCCACATGGACCGACTGAGAGCGGCCGTCCTCTCTTGCAGGGAGCCGAGGGCCAGAAGCCGGGATTCGGTTACGGGGGCAGAGCTTCCGACTACAAATCGGCTCACAAGGGCCTCAAGGGGCACGACGCCCAGGGCACGCTTTCCAAAATCTTCAAGCTGGTAAGGCACCTTCTTAAGGCGGGCGGCGCGGGGGCGGGTTCGGGGACAGGGCTGGGACTGCCGGCCTCAGGCTCGTCCCCGCGCCGCTTCTCTGCAGTCAGCGCCCCACGTGCCATCACTGCACGGCCAAGCGCTTCTCCAGGTCCCGCCTGAACAGGGGCGGCGCTGGGCGCCAGGCCGGGGCCCCTCGGGGAGCTTGCGGACGACGGGGTCGCCGCGGTTACAGGCGGGGCCCGGGCGGCACGGAGGCCTGGAAGGTCAGACAGCAGCACCTCGTTCCCTGAGGGAACCAGCGGCAGCCAAGGGGACACGAGGGGAAGACGGCTGGATGGACGAGAGGCCCCGGGGACCACGGGCACCCGTCCCGTCGGTTAACACGGACGTCAGAGCCACGTCCGTCAGTGCGTGACCTGGGCCCCCGGGCTCCCTGAGGCTCGGCTTGTCCTCCGGACGACGGGGTGACGTACGCGTGGCCGGAGCCGCCG